CAGATGTTAAAAAGAATGAGCTAGATTTATCTCTGTTGGCTCAAGGGATGCCTGTGACACATGACAAAAAAGATGCAGAGGAATATGAAATTAAGATAGCATTCATATTTTTAAAAACCAAGCTGTACATATCTTTATATTTATAAATGTGTATATTTGTATATTTTCTGCATAGAAGGATAATGGAGTGAAAAGATTCACAACATGCAATTAACATTGGCTACCTCTGGAGGTGTAGAGATGTGAGAAAGAATATTATGAATTATTACTATTGCTGTATATATAGAGACATGCATAATATGTTACATATTATATACATTTATGTGTACATGTATATAGAGAGAAAGAGAGAAAGAAGCAGGGCTGGTGAGGCTAGAATATGAAGTTGATTTCTGAAGGTTCCCATCTGGAGGGTGGTTGTGGCATGTGAGCAGTGATAGAGTCCTCTCTGAGGGGGTGTGTGTGTGAGTGTGTGAGAGTGTGTGTGTGTTTGTGTGTGTGTGTGTGTTGCAAGGGGATGGTGTCAAGTAGAGCTTAGTCACCCTCAGCTTTCATCTGGCTAACTCACAGCCAAGGCGAAGTACCATTTGTACCTAGTCCATTTGAACATTTTTCTGCCAAGCACTCGTATACAGCACAGCCCTCACTCCGAGGGGCTGCGACTTTATTATTGGACAAGACAACCATTCAGGAAAGACTGAAAGGGGCCGCTCTCCTCCAGTGTCTCACAGTTTGTAGTCTCTAAAACATGGGTCTTCAAGTTGCTTCTCATCAAGCCCCTCATCAGTTAGGAAATAGTAAGTTTAGTTATTTAAGTATAAGTTAGATACATGTGTACTCCAGTACTAATACTCCAAATTATTATAAACCCTTTATTGAAACAAAAGAATGTTAAAGCATGAGAAAGAAATGGAAGTTCTAATCTTAGTATTTCCTGGCTGCCCCTAAACACTCTCTGCCCTGGAGACAGTTCTCTGAGGCATGGGCAGACTGGGATGGAGCTGGCCATTGACCAGGGACTCTTTCCCACTCACCTCACTATCTTACACTGTCCTACGGGGGAGGCACAGTCTCTGTACAGAAGATGCTGTGTCCTTACAGCTCTGGTTCTTTGGACCATGCACTGAAAACTTACCATGGCCATCTTTGACTTTTGAAAGAGGAAGAACTACTTTTATATTTCCAGGAACCTTGGGATCAGCCTAGAAAGGGCTGATGGGGCTAGGGAGGAGGGAGGCCCTGTGATTAGTTCCCAGACCTCTCCCAAGGCAGTAGAAATCCAGTCCATCAGGGATGGTGAGGACGGTGGTTCTTATTGGCAGATCTGGGACCATGGTGTCCAGAGGGTAGCCCAGGCTCATGTTTTCTGATTATGCTTGTTCATTGTGAGAGGGATGACTGTACTTGTGGCTGCCTTGGGCTTCCCTGGTTTAAGCATGGTCCCAGGAGTATCTGGAAGTGTCCTAACTTTGTCCTGAATCCCTTAACCAGTCCAGCCAGGGACCTGAATCCAGAGGACTGGGATCTCTACTCAAGGATGCATTTGAATTCTTCTCATTGAGTTTATCTCTAAGGTTTTTAAAGAAAGCTTACTTTGTTCACTTGCAAAGAAAGGTAGGTCTATTAGCCGGAGACTCACTGCCAAACAGGGGCCTGGCTGGGGAGGCCAGCAGTGAAGTCAGGTGTCCCCAGATAGAGAAACCCCTCTGAGGGCACAGCAGAGCAACTCCTAGCCCTACTCCACAGCAGTCATCCCAGACACCAACCACAGGGCAGTGTTTCCCAAGCACATTTATTCATTGGTTAGACCGTCCCTTTCTGGCTTTACTTCTTCATTCATTCCCTTGTGACATGCATTAGTGCAGCCACTGAGCAGCTTTTGTGAGCCTGCATCCTGCTGAGAACTCGTCTAGGTGCTGACTGGTGAGGAGGAATACCTGCAGTAGGAGAGTATTGATGGGGCATTAGAAGCCAGCTCACAGTTCAGTGCCACTGCACGTGGACATCTACTAAACATGTGTCTGTGCCCAAATGTATTCCTCCTGGACTTTTCCGTTCAACTCTGAACTGGTTTAGCCAATGTCCACTTGACATCTTCACTTATATGTCTCATAGTGTCTCATCAATAATACAACCAAAGTGGACTGCGAATTCCACCTCTGCTCCCATCCCCAATCAGCATGTTCTTCTGTAGTCTTCCCCATCTTAGCAAACAACTCAGCAACTAAACAACTCATCCTTCCGTACTCAGGCTCAAAACCACAAGTCATTCCTGACACTGCTGTCTCATATCCTACCAGCATTTTATTAGCAAATCCACCTGATCCAGCCATTTTCTTGGGGATTTTTTGGTAGCCCCCAGCTCTCTCTCTCTCTACACCTGTCTTGCCTCTTGTAATCTATGAGAAGCATGGAAGCTAGAGCAATCCCTTTGTAATTCAGACCATTTTACTCCTCTACTCCAAGCCTTCTCTCCAGTGGCCTTCCCTCATGCAAAGGAAAATCCAGTCTTCCATTAACTGCCAGGGCCTGTTTGATGTTACCCCTGTTAGCTCTCTGACCTCAGCTCCTGCTGTTCCCTCCTGCCTCACTGTGGTTTGCCCCTTTAGAGTTTCTCAAATAGGCTGAGCATATCCCACATCAGCATCCTGGTATTTGTTGTTTTCTCTTCTGGAATGTTCTTCCCCTAGGTAACTCACTGCCTTACTTCCTTCAGGGTTTGCTTGTTAGAGGGACCTTGCTTGACCACTTGGATTGGGAGGGAAGCCATATTTCTAGCCTTCTCTATCCCCACATCCCACGCCCCAGTGCAGCACTCATACCTCTTGATGTATTATGTATTTGTCTATTATCTTTCTTTCCCAACTAGAATGTTTGAAACTGCTATATCTCTGGTGCCTAAAAATGTGTTCAGTTCTGCTAGACACATTGCACACAACAGGCACACAGTAAACATTCACTGGGATGAATGAATGAAAATATGAAGAACTGACTATATGCTGGGCCCTAACCCAAAAGTCTTCAATGAAATAATTTACCCTCACAACTACAAAGTGGAGATTATTATTACTATTTTTCAGAGAAAAACCAGAATTCAAACCCAGGTTCTGTCTGCCTCTAAAGTCATCCTTTTTCCATGACAGCACTCTGGAAAAAGCCAGGCCTTTCTCCAAGAGCCTTCCATCTACCATCAACAGTATGCTGGGTACTGAAATGTTTGCAAACCCAGATAGAATAAGGGCTGCTATGTGCAAAAGGCTTTGCAATTTTACCCACATTCTTTTTTTTCTGTAGTCATTTATTGATTTATTTTTAATAACCTTAGAGGTTATCCTAAGTGAAGTAACTCAGGCTCTTACTTTACTTTATCTCAATTATATGGCTGTGAGGTAGGGAACCATGAACCAGTATTTAACACCTTTTATTTTTTCCTAAGGAAGAAAGGCTTAGTCAGGTTTACCAGTTTCTAGGTCAGCTAACTAGTCCTTTGCAAAGTCAAGTCTCCACTGCATGTCTCTGACCCCAAATGGAGCAGGGGGTCTCTACCCATGACCCCATCTGTGCTAAACACAAGAACAGGGATGTGCTAGCACCACCTTACCCCTACCATATGCAAGCATTGCTCAGAGAGATCCTCAGGATTCTGCCCCACACAGAACTGCAAGAAGGTACAGTGGATGCCTAAGTAGAAACTGAGTTACGAGCTATGCTCCCACCCTCCCAACAGTGAGGAAGCTCCTTCTGGACTTCATCCCAGTGTGCCCTTTGGTTGCCCTCCCTTGCCTCAGCCTGCTCCCAACCTGAATTTAGAGTTGGGTTTGTGCATTTCTGTTCCCTCCACAGAAGGCTCCATGGCACCTGGGTCCAACCACCATCAGCAGGTACCAGAGGGCCTCAATCCCGACCATGCCTTTTACTCCATCCTCTGTCCTTTGATACCCACCCAGCTCCTCCTCCCCCATCTAGGGCTGAGAAACAAGACCTATCAATTGCAGTAAATTGCCACATCCACCTAAACAGGGTGTCCAGCATGTTTCTGTAATACCAACACCTGTTTGTTTAGTCATGCAATATTTACAAGGTCACTTGCCAGCTGCCAGATGCTAGACCAGGTGTTTCAGTATAAAATACAAATTGAATTCCTCCCATAAAAAGGGCTTGCAGTCAGGTGAAAATAAATAAGGCAAACAATGGAAACACCATTGATACATACAATAAGGAGAGATGGATGTCTATTCCAAGACCTCAGGAGATGGATATCAGGTGCCGTTGGGCCCCATAGCAGCACTGTCAGCTTGAGTGACACAATAGCCAGGAACTGACCAGGACCCTGCTTCCTGGGTCATCTGTCAACAGAGCAGGGAGAATGTCTTGGGTCCTTGGGTTGCAATCACAAGCATCCGAGTTACCCAGAGCCCGAGCCTCAGTTTCCCTATCTGTGAGACTGGGAGATAATTAGTAAATCTTCTCATAAAGATGTTCAAGAATTCAAATGTACATCAATATCTGGAAAATAGTTTGGCTTCAATAAATGTTCATTTTTTCATTTAATTTTTTAATATTAAGATTAAGATTAGTGTCCAAAGCTATTGCCCCTTCTTCAAATAGTTATCCACAGAAAGCAGGAACACAGAGAATGTTGAACCTCTGAACCACCTCAGCTGACCTGAGACAGATTTTCCAAATGGTAGTAAACACGAACGCATGCTCTCTCCTCATGCCAGCGCTGCATAAGTATCAGCCAGATCCCAGTCCACAAACATGCAATGCAGCTTCCCAGGGAAGTCATGGAGGGACAGGAGTGGAGCCTCTTGCCCCAAGTCCTGCCCCCTGGAGCTACCCACCACCTCAGCAGAGACCCACCCATTTCCCTCCAGCCAAAGGCAGAGGGTGGGTAGGGGCTCCATCAAGTCCCTCTGAGCCCTCCACACATACCACCCCTGGCCACCTATGGCTCACCCAAGGAGTCCTAATGACACCCAGCAAAGTTAGCAACCTACCGGTGGGGCATCAGGACTGCCTGAGATGTTCTCCATTCGCGGCAAATGATCTTATTTTCTGAAGTAGCAGCTTTCTATTGAAATTCTTCATCAGTCGCTGTCATGGGGAATTTCCCCCCCTTTCCTTTCTCTTTCTAACTGGTGAAATTGACAGTCTGCCTACATTAACCAGGCATTCATTTGCATGATCAAAAGCAGATTTGTTCCAAGATGCAATGTTCTGCCTTCCTTTCCAAGCACAGGCATCTCCAAGGAAGGCGAGAAAAATCAGAAACAGAGCTCCTCCGCCGTGCCCCGGAGCTTGGCCACAAGTTGGCCTCGTCTGGGAGCAGGTGGAGTGGGGGCCCTGTGGGGAGGAGTTGGGGGAGGGCAGCTCATGTGAGAGTTGGAGAGCAGCACCTGGCAGCCGAGGCGCTGGCACGAGCCCCGGCACAGGAATATCCAGCCTTTGGTGACAGATTATAGTAAGAGAAGCATGCAGGAGTTTCCAGCGTGTGTGCAATTTCCTGAAAGGAGGCACTGCTGCCTTAAATCCCCAGCACTCAGGGATGGGTGGGTGTTAGGGTCTGAACCCAGGGCATCGCGAGGACCTGGATTCAGGGAAATGGGTCGCAATTCTTAGTTTTAACTACACCGTTTAGGAGAGTTGCTGAACTAGTCTGAGCTGCAGTTTCTTCAGCCTTTGAATGGACACATTGAGACCGCCCCCCCCCCAACTTCTGTCTCCTGCAGTGTCAGAAGAAGCAAAAGAGGTGTCTCCCAACACCCAAAGAGCCCTGGAGGTCTCATGGCTCTAGGCTGCCCTCACACACTGTAAACCCTCCACCCTGGAGCTGTAACCCCACATTACCCCTCACAGCTGACACTTGAACGTCACTTTGCCTAATTCTCCCCAGTGGCCTGTGAACTGGGATTACCGTTCAGAGAAAGCTGAGGATCAGAAGGATTGACTTGTCCTCCCCAAAATATTAAAAATTGTATTTCATGACTGCATTGGTATAAAGATGAATATAAACCAGACTAGATTCATCGTTACATTTTCTTTTTTTTTTTATTAACTGACTTTTTTTTTTAAGTGTACTTTAGGTTCTGGGGTACATGTGCAGATCATGCAGGGTTGTTGCATAGGTACACACATGGCAAGGTGCTTTGCTGCCTCCATCCCCCCATCATCTGTATTTGGCATTTCTCCCCACGTTATCTTTCCCCACCCCCTGCTGTCCCTCCCTCGCCCCCCACCAACTGACCCCAGTGTGTGATGCTCCCCTCCCTGTGTCCACATATTCTCATTGCTCAACACCCGCCTATGAGTGAGGTATTTTTTTCTTCTGATTTTAAAACAAATTAGAAGGAAAATACTTTCATGAGTTCCTAAAAGTGCAGTGAGCCCCCAGTCCTGAGCCAGCTGTGCTTGATGGAGAAGTCAGGTCTTTTCCCTTAACACCACAGTGGGTGTAAAGCCAGGAGTCACTCAAGCATTAACCCATGCAACATCTGTCCAACACAGACTATTTAGAGGCTCCTGTGTGCTGGACTGTCTTCTAGGCTTTAGAGGGAAAAGTTGTAACCTAAACAGATAAAGCCCCTGACTTGGAGAGTTCATATTCTCGTGAAAGGACACAGACGATGTAAGTGAATAAAGAATTTCGGATCTTAGACATGCCCTGAAGAATGCTGAAGTGGGGTCATTGTAGAGGAGATGACAGAATGGGGAAAATACTTTAGGGGCAGTCAGGGAAGGCTTTTCAGAGGAGGTGACTTCTGGACTGATGCTTGAGCAATGAGGAGCCAGCTATTTGGATCGAGGTACCGAGCTGGTGCAAAGACCCTGGGGCAGGAATGGCCCTGGCTGTTTGGAGGTCACAGGGAGGTCAGTGCTAGGAGATCCTGGGGCCAGTTGGGGGACTTGGAGGAGAGGAAGTCAGAGGTATGCAGAATACTGGTTATGAGATATTGAAGGCTATCGGAAAAGTGACTTTATTCTCCCTGCAGTGAGCAGGTACTGAAATGTTTCAAGCTAATAATAGAAGGTAATTTTGTTGATTCATTTGTTTTAAAAAGGAACATTTCTGGCAGGCATATGGAAAATTAACTTAGGAGATGTGACGTAGGAAGTAGAGATCAGATTGGGCTCTGCTGTGGAAGTCCAGGGGTGAGCCAGTAAATTAGGGCTGCAGACACAGTCACAGTTAGAAACGATCAGATTTGGGATACATCTTGCGTCAGCAGCTGACCGCATGAGTTGGGAGTTCAGTAGAGAGGTCAGAACTGTAGATACAGATTTGGAAGAAAACCAGGAAAATGTGGTGTCACAAAAGCCAAGAAAAGAAAGCATTTCCAAAAGGAAGCAAAGGTCAAATGTCACAGAGAGTCAGTGAGATGAGGGCAGAGAGTGGGCTTTTGCAGGTCATGGGAGACCTTGATGACGGCCATCTCAGCGGAGTAAAGTGTCGGGAAGGCTGACTGGAATGGGCTGGGGGAAGAGACGAATTGAGGACCGGGTCACATTGCTTCCCAAACCCCTCCTGTCTCCACTGCGTGATGCCTTCCACTGGATGCAAACGGCCGCCCAGGATTCGCAGAGCACTTTGCTCATTCATCAGCTGACCCCACTGGCTACACCAAGCTCTGCTCCGTGACAAGAACTGTGTCACGTTCATTTGGAATCCTCAGCTTCTGGCCAACACAAGGTTGGTCTTTAATTCATGTTCCTCAAATGAGCAAAGGAGTATTGTGTCTCCATCTACCTCAGAGCTCTAGAGAGTTCTGGAGCATTCAGTTATTCATTCACTCATCCATTCAAATAGTCTTGCAAGAAGCAGGTGCTCTGTGTCTCCTTCTTCCCAAACCTGTGATGTTACAAGCATTTTTCAAAAGTTGGAGCACAATCAATAAGGAAAAATTGACTACAGGCATCTGTGTACAGTGCATTCCTCCCCCAAGCCCCTGCTAGGAGCAGCACCTCTGCCTCTGCCCCAGTGTGGGTAGAGGAGATGTGCCATGAACCAGGACAGCCGTAGGGGTGGACTGGAGGTGGGGGCAGGTCTCACTCCGGAGGAAGATCGTAGGAACAGGCTACAGCAAAATGTAGGGAAAGAGGGGAACAATCACAGGAGCAGTCGGGAAATACTTGTGTTTTAATCAGGTAATTGAGAGCTGGTCTTAGTCACTAAGGGTGGGAAAATAGGAGGGGAAGGTTCTAGAGGTGAGGAAGAACACGTGGATGACAAAGTTAAACTGTGCCTATGTTGAGTTTGAGGGGGCTGAGAGTTTTCCAGGTGATGTGAGGCGTTTGGATATGAAGGTGTGAGGGTCAGACTGGAAAGAGACGGGAATCATTAGCCTAACAGGGTCATCCTCGAAGCAAGAGGAGGAAATGGCTCCATTCCACAAGCAGTCGTGGACAGAAGGGGAGGAAAAGGGGAAAGGGTGGCAGCTGGGAGCCTTGGCTTTCAAGAGTAGGCAGAGATAGCAGAAGGGGACTCCAGAAATGAGCCTGAGGCAGAGCCGTCTGGGAGGAGGAGATGGAGAGGTGGGGGGATGGGGCGTCTGCTGGTGGGCCTCTGCAAGGCCATCAGTGACCTTGATGGAGGTTGGGGTAGCCAGATGGCCATAGGGTAAAGAGGCTGTAAAACAGCTGAAGACCACCATGTAGGCATGCTCTCAGCATGCACACCAGGCTGGGAGCATCTGGATCAAACAGATGGAGGAGACCCTCCTGTTAAGGACCTCCAGGCAGGCACCTTAGCTCTCGGTGGGTGCGGGACTCATGGGGAGGCAGGAGGAGGTTTGCCCAGCGAGGCGCTCCAGAGATGTGGGCAGCAAAGACAGCCTCAGAGAGGAGGAGGGCCCTCAGTCCAAGAGGAGGAAGGGCCATTCCCTGCAAAGAGGGCAGTGTGGCCTGCAGAATGCGCTGGCCTCAGGGTTTGCAGCAGGAGACAGAGCTGGGGGAAGCACTGCTGAGGGGCCAGTTGGCTCCTTACTGAGACCCTGCAGTGCCTGGGCCAATGCAAGGACACCCAGCCTGTCCTGCTCTGTGCTCCGTGCTCTCTGGCAGGTCACATTTGCAAACCACAATGGGAGAGCCTTTCTTCTGGGCCTTGTGTGAAGCAAAAGACAGGGTGAGGCTGTCCCAGCCAGCCAGCCCTCTGTTCTCTCTGGCTTCACCCCTGCTCCTCTGCCCTCATCACTCCACTGACCCCACAGGCCTCGCTGCTCCCCCTCACCCAGGTGTCCACATGTCTGACCCCTACCCTCTCCAGTCTGGACTCAACCATCCTCCACGATGCTTAACCCCGTTCCCCAGGGCACAACTAGGACCCTCACCAACCACAACCTGGCCCCCTTTCCGGTTCCCCGTGCTGTGCACTTATCTTCCTCCTTATCACCCCTGGACAGTCCATATAACATAGATGTGCTGTATATTGTCAGCATGTCCCACAGAACTAGACGCCCCATGCAGGCAGAGAAGAGCCTGCTTGTTCACTGATGTGTCCCAAATGCTGGGAGCTGTTCCTGGCACAGGCAGGCACTCCATGGATAGCTGTTGAAGGGATGGTACGTTGAAGAGCAAGGACCTGCAGCCATGTGTTCCCATCATGTCTCTCGGACATCACTAGGCATGAACATAAGGGCATTCTAACCTGCCGTGCTGAGTTTCTTTTTAATCATTTACTAACTAGAGGGGAGAGAGAAGTCATATTTACTGTCTCCCATGTGTCAGCCTCTTTATAATCATGAATTCGTTTTAGTCTAACATCAACCCCATTTTACTGACCCGAAATGAAGGCACAGTATATCCACTGAACACATTTGTTCATTGGAGGTGAATCATCTGAGGTCACAGAACAGAGCTAGATTGAACCCGGGTCTCTCAAATGCCAAATCTCGCATCAATCCCCTGGGCCTCGAGACATTCAGGTTTATGCTGAAGCCCTGTGCAGCTTCTCAGTGTTTCCAGAAGGATCTAACTTTTCGTTAGGATGTGTTCATGGCCATCGTTTAAAAGCACACACCGAGGACTGGCCAGCTCATGACAGCCCTTTGTGTCATTCCTGCCTGTAACAAATCTACTGTCTAAGGCAGACCCCGCCTGTAATTACAGCTCGTGGGAGTCAGTGCACACAGTCACACAGTGGCCCCCGCCCCCACCTGCTGACTCTCTAATTAAACTGGCAATGGCATCTGTGCTCAGGCCTTGCCAAGCATGAAGGAATGTGTGTCCCAGATCATGCTGAAAATGTGCCCCTTCACATTCCCTTGCACCCCACTGGGACTTGGGAATTTGTCTCCCACTATTTGGGAGATAACTTTTGGGTCATCTC